TGTATTACTGTTACAGTGAATTACTGTACAGTGATGTGTATTACTGTTACAGTGAATTACTGTACAGTAGTATGTATTACTGGTACAGTGAATTACTGTAAAGTGATGTGTATTACTGTTACAGTGAATTAACATACAGTGGTGTGTATTACTAGTACAGTGAATTATTTTGCTTAGAGAAATTTCCTTATCGTATATATTCCATCAAATAAAAGAAGTCAGTCACAGGGAATAACTCATCAACATATGAAATCCTGTGAAAGGTCGTATTTTGACATCAATTCCCCTGTGTGCACATGCAGTGCCCTATGATATCTTAGTGACATTTGCCAGTATAGATATAATTCTGTTTTAATTTTTCCTGGCAGGTTTGACAAGTCCTGGAATGTGTCACCATTATGTGGTAGTTTATAGCTGGATAAAGTCAACAACTGGAATGACTGGAATTCCATGGAAGTGAAATGGTACACCTTGTAATACCCAGGAGAAATTGATTTCAAGTGGCCTTAACAAATTTATCATCAAAAAAAAACACAGGGTGTTGCTTTTAAACACAGGTGCTGTATAGTCTAGTAGGTGAGATAGGACTCTCTAATATTAATTTAGCTGTATCAAATTTATGGTGTATCCTGATTATGGAATTTCAAACTGATTTATAGACACCCAGTCAAAGTTCAGAATCATGATGTACTGCCTGGGGTGTGCTGTAGATAAACATTTTTGATGATATTTTGCATGTGGTATGATCTTGGTCATGTGTAATCAGTATTTTTTTCTTGGTAGGACTTCCAATTTTGTGTTAGGAACAGATAATGAAATTTTGACATTTTATTTTTTATAGTTTAATTGAACGAAGTATTTTGTGAATACAAGGTGTGTAGTGTACTGTCAGCTGTATTGTGTGTGACCTGCTGGTGAGTTCAGTTTGATGAACAGGAAACAGATGCTGTTGAGGATAAAAGACATTGGTGTTAAAAGCTTGAAAACATTGGAATATCTCCTGACTTCATTAGGATTTAACAGCTACCATGTAAATCTGTCTTTGTTAATTCGTGCATAATTATGGAACTTAAAGTTTGGGTTGAAGGAATTCAACGCATAATATGTGGAGTTAGTGAAAACACAACATGTCAAGATATTGTCATTGCGCTGGCGCATGCCACTGGTATGACCGGACGTTTCTCGCTAGTGGAGAAGTGTCGCAATACAGAGCGCCCGCTGCCCCCATCAGAGAACCTTCTACGAGTTCTTTCCAAGTGGGGTCACTATGCAAGTGAGGTACAGTTTATACTTCGAAGGTCTGGGGACTCGCCGGCAAGCAGCAGACCGTCTTCCGGGAGGCGGAAATCGCAAGATAAGACTTCGTCAGAGTTAACTGAATTGCTATCTCTCCCTAAAAAGAAAACTTTCCCCTTGAAAAAGTCTTTGACGTTCAGCGGTGGTGTGAATAGTTATGTTTTTAAAAGAAAGGATTTCCAGGAAAATGTCATTGACAATCCTCAGACTGCGTGCGAGGATTTAATCAAATTGGTCAATTTACAAAAGGAGAAGCTGCAGTGCCAGGAAGAGGATTTACACAAAATGGAACTGGATATCAAATCCTTGGAAAGTTATGAGAATGCTGATTCCCAGCTCCAAGATGTCGAAAATGAGAGGGAGGAATTAGAAAGGAGTTCCCAGAAAACAGAAAACGAGCTGGGAGAGATGGATTTCTGGGAAGATGAACTCAATCTGGAGCAAAGCAATAATGAATCTCTGGCAAAAGACTTGAAAAGTCTCAAAGAAAGAATTGAAGAGATAGATAACAAACTTGTGCAATATAATAATCAAATCCAGAGGCTGACGGCCGATGTGACGAACATTGAGAAACAACACAAGAAGGAAAAAGAGATGAAAAGCCAAGCAATGGAGGAAAAGGGGAAACAACTTCAAGCAGAGTTTGATCTGCTGAAGAAAGAATTTGACTTACAAGAGAACATTGGCGATTTGAATGAAAAGAGCATATCAGAATTGAAAGGGCAGATTGAGAAATTTGAGAAGGAAATTGAGGATAAGAAAAAGCAAGAGGATGAGATAGATAATCAATTGAAAGAGATCAACTTGCAAGACTTTGAAGTGACTTCAGCGTCTGTATCACCGCCATTAACTGTTAAGCATGCACGATGCAGTACACCATTAAATGGTAAGTATTTTCTTCTCCACATAGATGAATGTATACGAGCATTAGAGACAATAATTGTCCTAACATGTAGCAATTTACACAGGTTATCATAGGAAACAAACGTTATTTTGTTCTGCGTTTTTTCCCAATCCCATTTGGGATTTCCCCATGAATAGTTTATTTTTTTCCAGGTTCAAATTTATTTAATGTAATTGCTACTCGATAGACCTGAACTATTGAGTGCTGATCATGATCATAAAAAAACAGAATCTGTTAAAAAAACTGTACATACATTTCTGATCAATTATTCCACTGCATGAATCAATCTGTATTGTCTGTAGGTAAAGCTGTTATAATGTTGCCATAAATTTTCCCAATACAATTTTGGTGAAAGATTTTGCACAATTTCGTTGTTGATTTTAAACCATATTGAAATATTAGCTAAAGTTTTGATCAAAATTTTTGAAAAAAAAAAAGAGCATTAAAATTATACGTTTTTTGGAAAATAACAAAAGTTTGCTTCGACACAGCAGCAGACTATAAAGCTAGTGCACATTTTCTGTCAGACATGCTCAGGCTGGTTTGAAAAACAAATGAGGTTACAATGAATAAAAACTAAAAGCAATATCTGAAACTATATAGCGTTATTCTAATTATAACACTTAACACGAAAACATGTCACTCTGTAACGTATATCTGGTTCACTTATTTCTGATTTCTTTTTCTTTTTGTCAGATTTAATGAATACACATGATGCATTTACAATACCGAGAGCAGGAAGTGGAAGATATTTCCATGGCAACCCTAGATTACTTCAAAATGCTGAACCTAGTAGCGAAAACCCTGAGGGTATCTGGGTGTGAAATGTCACCACCTTTCACCCCCTCCTAGTCAAATGAAGTGACCCATCCATTACACTATGCTATTGTGTATTGTAGTATGGGTGTAACTTTGTGAAATTACACTGCCATAGTAAGATTAAAACTGCCAAGTTACATCACAGTTTTTGTATGCAATGTATATAATCATGCCCCAAAGTTAATCATTGTGAATAATACACAGTTTTATGATGAAGTGTTTAATATTTTCTCTATGCAATGTGAGACAACTGGAAGTAATTTCCTAGAATCAAAAAAAAAATGGTGTTTCCTCATTTTGTGCTGTTATTCTGAAGTCGCCATCCCAAGAATTGGACGCGTTCATGACCTTTATATTTAAACATTTTTATTAATAATAATAATTCCAATTATTAAACATGCAGAGTGTGAAATAGTTACTGATCAACTTTTCAATTCTCCTTGGTGCTCACATGTACAGCTAAATTAGACTGCCTATATTACATTGTGTAAACTTTCTTGCAAGTATTCGATAGATGGGTTTTGAATAAAACTAGAATGCTGTCCAGTGGGGCTTGTACCGGTCACTACCAACTTGTCATCACCTATGCAGCAAACAATTGCCATATTTTATAAGTAGCAGATTAGCATTTATGTTTGTTCTGAAATTAATTGAAATTCTGAATAAAATCAGTTGAGAGGTGTGTAATCGAATAATACAGCTCTTTCACAGAAACAGACACTACCTCCCTTTGGTGTACGGCATGTCCCCCACACTAATTTAAAGGTGCACAAGCTGCAACACAATTATTAACTTCCATTCATCTACCTGGTAAAATACACTTAGTGTTTAATGTGTGAGCTAGCAACTGACACTTACTTGCATATCTTAAAAAGTTTCAGGATCAGTCAGTAATTTGAAATGAGTGAGAAATTGTCATTGCAGATACAAATACTAGTATGTGATGGCAGACATTATACTAGATCAGTTATTGCAGCTGTACACCTATCACGACATTTTGCAGAAATAATGTTTCACATTTTGTGTGAGAATTAATATTATTTTACAACCGACATTCATTTACATATAGCCATGTACGTGTATTGTGTAAAATTCTATTGTCATTTGTACCTTGGTTTTTCCTGAAAATACTACATGTACCTTTACCACCTATTAACTTTCACGAGGCCTTATTATATACATCTTGTTTTATACTCAAGAAACAGACTTTTATTTTGTCAGCATGAATGGTTTGTAGACAAATTAGCTTATGTATGTTATACAATATATTATATATATATTCTAGTTGTTGATCTTTATTATTATATAAGCTTTACTATACTATTTATCTGTTTTTATTTTTTACCAATATGCATAGTACTTGAAGTGCATTTTAAAGTGGGAGGGTCGTCACCTGTGCACATGCAGGAATTGAGTCCCAAGCGATGATAACAACACACGCTGAGAGAGCAAAGGCTCATGGGCAGATGCTAGTTTGTAAACAGTGACACGCTATGGCCATCTGACGCATGCATAGGTGACAACTCCCCTGCTTTAAGTATACTTCATGTACCAGTTATTTAAAGTTATTTAAAGTTTACTTCCAGATGGTTCTATGACGAGCCACTTTACTACAATATAAAATCGATGCTCTAATTGTATCCATGAAAGTACTGTGCCAACGTGAGCAAAGACTGGTTATTAATTTAACTATCACACTCTCATAGAATGCACTGAGAGACTTTGATTTGGAAACAAACTTTTAAAGTGTGAAATCAAACTCGTAGAGCATGGATCTTATTCATTTAACTTGTCGTAAATTGGATGATCTACTAATGAATGTTAAATGCTGTTATTGGCTTAAATTTGTACATTTGAAATAGTGAATTATTATAATGCCAGATCTACTGCCAGTTAGACTGCAACTTGTGTATATATACAATTGCATGCTTGATTTGTTTGGCTTTCATTTCCCTATGGAGTTAAATCTCAACTTTCAATTCCCACTTATTAGTCTATTTGTACAATTACTATATTATCAGCTATAGCATTTTGCAAGTTGAAAATCTGTTGCACTGCCTTCTTACACTTTTTGTATGAATTGAAAATAAAGGTATATTGAACATTGAGGGCGCTGTCACATTTTCTTCATGGATTTCTTTATACAGCAACTATATTTTATTTCTCCAAAACACTAGTTTCTACAGTTGGAGTTTTACTTGTAATTAGAAGCGAAGCATCAGTTTGGATATGACATTGGAGTCTGGTTCCTTGAATCTATAAATGACTTCAACTTTATGAATAAAACTTATCAATAATGGTTTCCCGGTAGTATTCATTATAGTTCTTTTTAAAATCTAGAAATTGAACATACTTATTTATTCAATGCTTCTTTTGTTTAAAAAAATGGAACTTGCAATTACATTGCATCTCAAAATCTTGGAGGTTGGGGAATAGACAGTATAACACATTTTCACCAGTGAGGGCGCCATTACAATAAATACTTCCTTCCTGCATGTCGACCTGATGTTCATTCCATTCATATACCCTTCATACACTGCTTGTATTTTGTGAACCCCATTGCTATTCTAAGGTCAATGTGATTTATCCCTATTATAATGAAGGTAAATTCTGATTGGTCAGCAGATTCAGGTAAGGGTATTGATTTGTACATCAGAGCAAAAAAAAAAAACTTATTTTGCAACTTAGACACTATTTAATGTACAAATACTATATGTACAAAGTTAGCAGTTGTTAGCTATAAAAAATATCATGAATGCAACAGGGCAATTTGTGGAAGTCATTTTTTTTGTCAGTAAATATACAATGTATAGGGGAAAAAACAATTTGGTATGTTTTAGATCAGTGTTTAATTGGTGGATTCATGGAGGTATAAACAGTTTATACCTCCATGGTGGATTAAAACATCTCGTCATTGACATTGATTTCAAGTTTGAATACATATCACATCTGATTTGCAAGACATTAAACACAAAAAAGGGTCGTAAAATTTGAAAACAAAGCAGATAGTTAATATCTTAGTTGTACATTTTGAAACAATACTGGGTAAAGCCAATTTCAGTAATTTAGAATAACTGCACACCCTGGAAATCTATTTGTTTTATACAAACATACCCAATACATAACATACCCAATTGTATACATTTACAGAGAAACCTTGTGTACATTATTACTACTTGATGTAGTACATAATCATTATTCAAATCTCTTCAGTGGCATTCTTGTGTGAAGTTGAAATAATTATTTTAAATAGATGTTTGTTAAACATTAATCTGAAAGTCGGCATCACCATTGTTGTAGTCTGTGTGCAAGAACGATTGGATTCTCAAAGTGTGATTGAGGGCAGTATTGCATTCAGCATTGATAGAACTTTAATTTGCATGTATTTCGCTGACAAAAAAAAAAGATTAAGAGGGTTCTGCTTAGTTTCAAATGTCTGGCTTGCAGTAATTCAAGACACAAGCAAATCTTTGGGAATCCATGCATATTGCAACAGTATTCAAAAGCTTAGCAATGGAATTTGAACAAATAATAAACCAAGATGATTCAGCTGCACTGAAAAGCATTGAAATATCCACAACTACTATAATCATACCATCATATATCCAAAGACTCTTGAAAAGCACTATGAATGTTCTCTGAAGTAAATTTTAGTAACAAAACCCTGACTTTCTTCAATTTTACCATAGAACTTAGAAAACAAGTCAATGATTTTACAAAAGAAGTTTCCAGCCAGATGCACCATGGCAGTATAATGGCAGCCACTTTGTATATATGCATGGCTTCGTTACTAAATTTGTGTTAAAGTAGGAGGGTTGCCCCCTGCGCACACGTGGGAATTGAGTCCCAAGTGACGATAACACACGCTATGGCCATCTGACGCATGCACAGGTGACGACTCCCCCGCTTTAACTCAAGAACTAAATGTAATTTTGTATTTATACTTTTAAGTAGTTTTAAGAGTCCAATCAGCAAGACATACAAACTAAAACATTTAGTGATAACTTCGCCTTTAATGACTCCTTGATATCTTATACCACGTGTTGAAATATATATTCAAAGGGCAGTGGTCGTCAACCCACGTCTACTCTGGTTTGATATGGGGTCCCATAGCAACATATACAACATGTGTGAAATGCATGTTTGTTACACAAAGTCAAAACGCGTGCATGATGACCACAACCCTTTAAAACTAAAATAAAAAAAAATTGTTGTACAATACAGCTCAACTAAATTGAAGAAAAAATTTCCTCTGTGGCTGAAATATACTCTACATAGAGTATGTGTTTATAGTTTGTAATTCATATAGATAACAACACTGTATTTAAAGCACATCAAAAAAACAAACAAAAAAAAACACATAAAAGGAAACGGCTAGTCTTGAGTATGGAGCAATTATGGGAAAAAAAAAATTGAAAATATAGCACCACCTTTTAAAGTGTATTTAAAATGTTACAGTTTAATCCATATTTGAAATTTTAATTTAGTGAATAATGTTTGCATACAGAAATATCATGAAATGATACAGCAAGAAATATATAAGTATATAGAAATTGACTTCAGTGATCAACGTACCCACAACACAACATAAAATGTTATTTTTCAAAAAATATTGTCAACATACGCTATGTCACAGGAAAATTTACATACTATGTTTACGTCTATATTTGAATAAATTTTTGAATAAAAAAATGCCAAGTTTGATACATCTGAAAGGGATAAAGCTAACGTGTCCTTGCATACCAATGTATGGATCTAGGAGGAACTTTACAGGGAATGAACACAACTGCAATGCATCTTCATAGATTATTTACAAACACACACAAAATAATAACATTTACAATAAATTAAAACAAGATCCTAGGTCCGCTAGGAATGTGAAGATTGGACGGAAATCAGTATATGTGATCATGTGTTCCACCTAACATCTTTCAGGTAAGCTTTTGTCTTTCAGAAATCATGACATCCAACTGGGAGGGAACAGTGACAACTGAGATTAAATCTTACAGCATGTATGGACATAATACAAAAATACAGTAAATAGTGATTGACTGAAGAGCATTACAGTAATCATGTGTGGGTCTCACATTGTGGAAAATGTGGACTTTCATTGTACACACACACACTCAACTATGATAATGCTACAAAAATTTCCCCCCAAAAGACTTAAAATCATTGGACATATTGTACATCTGAGAATTTATCAATGTTGACGATAATACCAATATTTACATAATGCATACAAGTTAGAAAGCCAATCACATGAGCTATACAAAGTAGAAACACTAGAAGCTTGAGTCAAGAAATGCATACAATCATACATGAGCTTGCTTGACTGTATTGAGAGTGAATGGTATTGCCACTATGGAGAGTACAGCGGATATTCAATCAACGTCGTTCACGTGATATCCGAGTTAGTGCATGTTTCTGGTTATTGTTCACCTTCAAAGGCAAACAAGCATTTGATAAAGCAACATCATCATCATCATCATCATCAATCATCATCATCATCATCATCATCATCATCATCATCATTTTACAGTAAAAATGCCTTGAATGTTTTATACAACCTCTGGGTTGAATTGCTTGACACAATCCCACGACTACAAAACAATGCACATCATAATATTTAGTCTTTAAACTGGTTTCATTGGTTTATTTGGTAGCCTTTGTAAAGCAGCTCTGGCTGTCGATGGTCTGGCTAGACCAGCAAATCTCTGCGCTAATGTGGGCGGTGTCAATGTAGATGCTCTGATGACAGGCTGACTCTGGTCTATTATTTTTGGTTGTGTCTTGTTAACAACTATATCTGACCTGAGGCGGATATAAAAAACATCATTACTGCATGTTTCCCGTCTTTAAATCCAGCAACACATCTGTGTTGTTGTCATATTACTAAATATGCATCCCATAATAACGAAATAATTTGTTCAAGCAAACTTTCTTAGTGACTATAAGGAAATAATTTACAGTCTGTAACTCAAATGTAGTGTATCTTTGCATAAAGCTAAGCAGTTCAGTGCTGTTTGCACTAGTCTGAATTTCGCACACTACTGAACTGACGTCATCACTATAGATGGTATAGTGAGGCCATGATGCACATTACTTATTATAAAGCTAGACAAAAAACAACTTATTCATCAGATTTTTTTGTCATGAAATCTTGGTGCCAAAAAGTTTAAATATTTTTATACTCATCTTGGACTTCCTTTAATGTAAAATAATGTAAAACGCAAAGTCATCAAAGAAAATATTGAAACAAATGATCCTTACAATGAACAACAGCTATGAACGCAGTTTGGAAGATGTGTATACATCTCACAATTTGTGAAAATCTCGCAGTGCAGTCAACCGTTAAGCGATTTTTTGCTTCATATTCAATCTGGCTTGTCTGGCTTAAACATTGTCTACTTTGCCATGTACACTAATTTATTTTTAGTTCAGTCATAGCATAGATAGTGTTTGTTCCAATAATCCACTCACACACCTTGTGATTTACAAGACCCGATTACATTACTTCCACATGTTGCACGCATGACTAAAAATCACCTAGTAATAACAGTACTTGGAAATAACTCAACAACATGCCCAGATTCAAAACTTTGAGACCAAGTCAGTGTCAAGGCACCAACCTCAGGATTAATGTTCAAACAATGAAATTTATACCAGAGCATAAACGAACAGTGCCATTATTAATACTTACTTGAATTTTCTATTGCTTACAACTGGACCAGAATATGGCCTGTCATTCACAGAACCCAATGGCAATGCAGGATTTCCTTCAAAAGATGGTGAATTAGGACTTTTGACATCTTCCTTGTCTGATAAAACAACCTCTTCATCCGTTCTCAATCTTAAGTTTTTCAGTCGTGATTCCAATGTGCCGTCTATGTCAACGGGCATGGGGACACCCGTTGATGATGACATACGATACTTCCTGAGATGAAATCCACCTATAATGCATAACATGTAAGAAAGAGTCACCATACACACAATTCATTTTAAAACCTGAGTGAGTATGACGATGCAAAACTTATATATGAGAATTTACCGATTTACCCAGTCTCTTACCTGCTGATTTAGGTCTGGCTGGAAGCTTAGGTGGCACATTGGAAGATGGCTGTCTTGGTGTTAAAGATGTTGGAGGTGAATAGAGACGGGTTCCAGAATCTGGTGACACAGAGTTGGGAGGTGAAGTCTCAATTCCAGTATCATTATCTTCATTGCTTGAAGAGTCGCTGTCATCACTGTGTGTAATTTTTAAAACTTGTGCTTGTGATCCAGTCAACCTTTCTGCCATGTGTCTATATTGGTAAAAAATTAAATTGAAATACAGTCCAGACCATCTTACATTCTACCTCATGACATCAGAACTATCACAATGACTACCACAGAATCTAGAATTGTTAATACTTCTTGAACCTCAGAGTCTGGGTATGTTAAATTGACACTATTATTGTTTTACATCCCTAGAATTACAGCCTATATCTGCACACAATATTTGCTCAATTAGAAGTGAATCTCTTTAATATAGAAGCACGCATAACCAAAAATTGCATTTACTGCATTATTAAAATATGACATAGTTTGACCATGGACACAACTCGCTACATATATTTACATAACACAGATTGAAGTAACAAGGTTGAAAAAGAATGACATAAATAGACAAATTTTCACTATGAAATATAAGCGTGGAACAGGACTAACAAAAGTCATAGAAGCATCGAAACATCGCTTTGGGTTCAAAAAACACAAAATTAATAAAGTGCTATACACATTTGATGTAAATTTTCATAAGGTAAGGGTATCTCAATGCCGTATTCTCTTCTGAAAGATTGGCATTTAACATTGAACTAGAAATGAGAAATTCAAGTTTAAAATCGAATCATTTGATCAGTGCCTTTCACGCATTATGCATCGGCCCATTGCTAACTGTCTTGCATTCTGCACTACTTGCACTGACTACACTGATTGTCCACATAGTGTGGGCAGTGATGTAACAAGACAATGCCGATCAGAACATTCTTTAGGTGATCGATCAATCTTTTTTACAGTATACAGTGATAAGGTGAAATACCGGTAATAAAACTCACATTCATATTATTTGCAGGAAAGACACATTGTAAAAGCAGTGTACCAGGTAATACATAGCTATACTGTTTCAACACAGTCCCAGTCAGGAAGTTGTTGTGTTGAGGCTATACCCATAGATGTATTCAAAAATAAATGTACTTACTTTTCATAATCTTTCTTCCATTCCCTAAGTTCATCAAAGACATCTTCCTTTGAGTCATTGTCTATTTCCTCTTCTAGATCATATGAATGCTCTGGTTTGTGATGATACTGTGAAAATAAATTAGGAGCAGGTGCATATGGAATCTCCTGAAGAAAACAAACAAAACAATTTATTATTTCCATGCAGTAGTAAAATATTTTTCAATATTTAAGTGCAGATGAGTTAATAGCATGAGATGCCCAGTGACAAATTGGGCTAATTCATGTCAAAGCTATTAACTGATAGTGCAAAGCAATCACTGTGAAAGTCATTGATTGAAAAAAACGATAGTAAAAGTTGGCTTAAATCCATGAGCAGTATAAAAATATTAAAAACAAACAAATATGTGAATGTAGATTCTATCATTTTTAATTTTTTCTAGTCCAATCCATAGTTGATCAATGACATTGAAATGATCGTTTGATATTTCACTGATTTTCTTTCACCTCCATTCTTTCCACGACAAATGTGATGTCAAACACTTACCGGACTTGTGTATTTTTTTCTTTGTCTTAATGCCCTTATGGGATTGCCACATAATGGCGAACTATTACCATGCGTTAAATCACTGGAGTCGTCCTGTACCACCTGTACATCAGATCCTGAACAAGAAACACAGAAATACAACAATTCATTTCTATCATGCAGTGGCCATTGTTGACTATTTGTATTCTAGGCTTTCTTTTTGCATTGACAGAAAACAGCGGCGGCCAATCGTATCATAGCGTATCATTGCAGGGGACCCAAAGGCGAGACATGGTATGCAGCAATGGTCACGAATTAACAAACGCCTAAAAGCTCAATTTAAGTTTTAAAAATACTCACCACTAGAACTTGGTCTATCAGAAGCACCAGATCTTCTACCGGCTGCTGTTCCAAGTCTTGTAGCTGATCTACCACCTGATGTGACAGGCCTCCTACCGGTTGCTGAGGACGGCCTCCCCTTTGAGCTTCCTGGTCTTCCACTATCTGTGATTTAAAAAAAAAAAAAATTCATTGTGTATTAATATGGTAGTAAATGGGTCAAGTACATATCTCCGATCTAATCCATGTCTTAAAGAATGCTTAATTTCACCAAGAAACCTGAGCACCTGACTGAGAAAATTCCACAAAAATAATGCTTAAACACTGATCAGGTTGCATTTAAATTAGCAAATAAGGTACACCACATTAAAATCTTTGTAAGGATAATACCTGGGATTTAATATCAGGGACATACCTACAGAATCTTCCAAGCTTTCAGTAGAATCAGTATAATCTTTGATTGCATGATTGACTATCAACCAATCTGTGCTTTGATTTACATGTGCTTTTCCTAGACTTGAACTGACCACATCCAATGCCTCTTCATCTAAAATAACTATGCTGGGAAGAGCTTTTTTGATACTTGCCCTGTAATCAAACCTACCACTCTCCTGTGAGATAAAAAAACATTTGTTGAACTCAATGTTATACACACCTATAAATGTATGTTTTAAATGAAATTTCCCAAAAAGAATAGCATACAAAAATGGGCACATCAGATGCATAGATATGATGGAGTGCAAAGGTTTCATTTTGAAACTGTACCACAGTGTCTCCCAAAACTACAAGTGAAATTTCAAAAGGACTAATCATGTGTCAAAACTGTTAAGCACACATTTCTTTGAAATTCAGACCCTTAAATTTTTAATATAATAGACACATGACACTCCAATAAAACTGTACGACTAAATGAAGTTTAAAAAAAAAAAACATTTTACCTTGGGATTATAATCAGTTGTTGGTGATAAACATACAGGATTACCTTCCAGTGTTAATGTGTGTAAATTAGAGCATAATGCTAGAAACTCCACCTGTGCTATATCATCTATATTATTACTGAATAAAGAAAATAATCAGTCAGATAGTTTATACAATAACTTCTATAATAAGTTTTTCATATTTGCATTGGGACCCACTGGTTTGTGCAATAATCGCGCACTCATTCATCAATTAGAGTCCCAAACAAGGCAGACAATACGCATGTTCTGCACACATGTCTAATGCTATTAGCTGTTATTGTATTTATTATTAATTTATCATTGTGCAAAGAAACAGACAACAAAATTTGAAGAACTATTTTTTTTTGTCGCTTAGGCATTGTAATAAGATTCTGCATTCATTGTGTTCATAGTGACAGCTGCTATTCAAGCCACCAAGGTGATTTGGACAACATAGCTGTCATAGGAAACTTCAGGAAGTATTATGTATTCTCTTAAGTTTACTGCTGAGGATGCAATTTGAGCTTGCGTCGAGCATTCTGACAGACGATCTTGAAGTTTTAATCCGATTCTCTATTGGGACAGAGATTAAGTTATTTTCAGCATTTGTGTTGACTCCTGATCATACACACACATTTCAAATCATGCCAACCTGGTCCTGGCACTCTGCATGTTCTGAGATTTCAAACTCTACTACCTATTCACATGCGAATAACCTGTTTCGAGGTCAAAAATGAAACCTTAACAAGATATGAGGCACCACAGAAGAAGTGACTTTGTTGAAATATTATGATTACATGTTTACAAACTACATATATATATATGTATTATAGCAGTAGGCAGGAACACAGCAATATTGCCAGACGGGTTGTTTTGTTCATCACAGCAATAGAAGGTTTGCACTATCTGAATTGCAGAAGTTACCAGGAGTAATTTCAATGAATTTTTGTTGTACTAAAATGATAACAAACTTTTTACACAGTTGTTCGCAGTTTCCAATAAATACATTGTATACAACATGGTACGAAAGATAGTAATATGGAATTTCAGTTCTTTTATACCATTACCGGTATTTGAAACTTAAAATTCTGGCTGAGGTTAGTAATACAGAATTAGTTAGGAGTCTATAAAAGTGATTATTTGACCACCTAGTTATTCCATAGACATTATAAAATCAAAAAAAGATGAAAAAAAAAACAAAAACATTTTTTACCTCAATTTAGAAAAGATACTGCGAGTAACTTACCCTTCTACGTCCAGAAGTTGTAAATTATCTAACATACTGCAAGGGCTGACATCGGTCAATTCATTGTAGGCAAGGTAAAGTTCCTACAATGAAAGGTAACACAGTAAACAAGCTTATTTCCCAGTATCTTTGATTCAGAGAAAACACCTGGTAGGTAGAATTAAAGGTCATTCAAATTTGGAAAATATCATCAACATAACTCATGGTGATTTACCTGTAAATTGGACATAGAGCTGATTCCATCTAGGTCTGTCAAGCCACATCTTCCCATCCACAAAACTGTTAAATTACGTAATGATGTGCCTAGGTCTCGGACGGATGCGATTATACTGTCATTTAATTTCAATTGCTTTAAATTTGGTAACATGGAACCTGTCATCAAAGAATAGCAAGTCAGAAACGAGTGTACTGAATTGAGATGTACTGCAATGAACTATTACTCTTCATGAAATAATGCTTTAATTATATAATGATCTATAAAATTCAAACTCAAGTGTAGAAAACACACATCTATGCATTAAATATAACATAAGAGTATGCACGATACACAAGAAATGACTCACCAAAATTGCCTAAGCTTGTTTCTGTGGTATCAACTCTCATTTCTAGAAACTTTACATCGTCTAAGTCATCAACGCCTGTTAAGTTTTTCTGAAAAGAAAATACCACCACCTCAGTATACACATGATTATCAGTGATAACAAAAGATACAGAAGCTCAACTTCATATAATTTCCATTCTCGAACAAGTAATTATTTCAGAATGATAACTATGTTGTGCTACATTGTACTGAAACAATTACATAGACTGTATTTTTTTCATGTTACTTTGAATTGTAGCATAAACAGGGATCACCGACAACATTCTGCATACCGGAGCACAGGGAATGACTATAATTACCAATTTTAACGGTGATAGGTACTCTTCTAACAATATATCAGTTTCTTCAAGGACAATTGGTTCTGGGTTAACTCGGAAATCTTGATATTCCGTTATATGTACAGCATGGCGCTGATACGAGGTACCGGGTCTGCTATCAATATTAATTACTTGTAAACTTAAATAAAATGTAAAAAAAACAGGATTTAATGCTATTGAGCACTGCTGGTCCATCAGAATAATATTTACATGATACATTTTGTAATCAGATAATATGCAAAAAAAATCTATAACACAAAGACCCTACCCTCCCAACAGATACACTGACCCTGACCAATAATTTGTCGAAAAACCAGTAGATCACTGGAACTCAAATGGCAGACAACAACATTCAACATTTCTGACAATGTTGCAGATTGTGTTAATGCTTTGAGGACAGAAACAATTTTGGAACAATTCGAAGCAAAAACGAGCATGAACAATGAGGTCATCGAAATTATATAATAAATTGTTCCTAACCACAAGATTAAGTGAAATTTCACCAATATACATAGAACACAACAAAATCAACTTGATCGAAATTCCAAACTGCTTCATAAAATATCAATTTTGAAATAGATTGAATAAAAACTTTTTGAGTTATTGCAAACCCCCCCCCCCCCAAAAAAAAAACAATTTTTTTAAACAGAGCCAACAACAAGACAGACCTGCCATCAAGCAAAGGTATAATACAAAAACATTTTCCAAACATTTCACAAGTGAGAAATACACGACAACAGATGATCAAAATCAATATCACAGTGGTGACAGAGCGATGACACAGTAGTGAGTGAGTAACTTCAATGTCAATGTAACCTGTGGGGTACATGTTGTAGACATTTTATTGGGACTAATTCATTTTAAAATGAAACTACTCTAATCTAGAAAGACTTGAATACTTACTCAGGTGATTCCATAACTCTAGATGTGATTATTGCTGTCATTTGTATATATACACGAAACACTTAAATGTACATCGATGAAAGACAGGATAGTTAGCTTGATGATTCCACCCTAAGAATTGCCAGCACTATTGTGTGTTTTTAGAATCCAAGATAGTTTATACCTGCATATAAAAGAACATGTAATGAATTGCAAAGATGATGAATTGTGGATGAGAAACATTAAAAAAGGGCACAGCCTTCAGATGTTGTCAAACATGTTTAAATGTATAAGAATGGTAAAAATAAATGATCGGGACAAGTAACGGACATTACTACATGTATGCCAGGAAATACAAGTGAAGCGATACATATAGATGTTATGATATAGAAGGCTTAATTGTCATATTGATCACTCAGCAAAGTTACCTCTACGAGTTTTACTGACTAACTTTATTGATTGATAGGTATTTGTATTCAACAGAAGAGTGTAGTTTAACCATGTGTTACCATTTTGAATACCTCACTAGTCAATAAACTTTTACAATGTTTCAAACCCTGAATGTTGCAGATACCAAAGTCTTAATGCTAAAACAAATTTCGGTATAAACCTAAAACCTAACGTGGAGATATTGCATGTACTATGCACACCCATATTCAGGTTTCTTGTACATTGTCATGAAAAAGCTGCTCACAAAATCATGAAAAAAACACACAAAAAAAACATCCATCAATTTGTGAATTTACGTCTAATGCATGAACTAGTGAGCATCTATCTAGCTGAGGAGTGTGTTTGCCATGTCAATCATGAATAATTGCATGAAGTTGACTGGAAAATATACAAAGTTACATTATTTAGTATTTTAGTGATTTTGTATTATTTAGTAATTTAGTGATTGTATTTTGTTATCAAGCATACTGTGAAATATTTTATTTTAGCTGGCGTTTTCTTTTATTTTCACTGATTTTTGATGAGTTAAATGTGAAATATAGGAAAAAAAGAATATTCGCTTGATTTTTTTTTTCACTGAATCATTCCTTCAGCGAAAATTAATTCCAAGTGAAAATAAAGTATTTTACAGTATTGTTTTTTTCTTGTACCTTGTGACCATTTCCATTCTCTCTATGGATTGTGTAAGAGTCAATAAGTAAATAATTTCCCATTTACATCTCAACGTTATTTTTACTAATTCATGAGATTTTTAGTAAATTTCTACTACATTATAACATATGCAACATGAAGATTCCCTTTCCTCTTATAAATATAAATATATAGTCACTGGTTCCAACTGTGTATAGTCAAATTTGTGTCGAGAATATTCACTATCACTGGGTGTAATGTTTTGACATAAATAATGTGAAAAAAGAGGTGCCATAAACATTGTAAAACTAACTTAACTAACTCACCTGGGTGTTGGCTAGTTGTTTGGAATAAAAAAACTTCTCCGGGCAGGAACACCAACATAAATCCAAGAAAAACCTGTCGTTACGTCAGAATGTTTGTCAACACAAACAGGCATCGAGGTACATAACTTGAGAATAAACTTGCTGGGTGATTCTGTTTCGTAGATATCTATACATTGGCAGTCCTTGAGTTCATATCGTATTCCAGTAGCAACAAAACAATTCCTTGTATTGGCAGGAGTCATCAATATTTAAAATGTTGTATTTTGAAGAAATATATAGGATCACTAATAAATGTTCGGCTCAGCTCTCGAAATCTCGAGCAGACCGACGACGAGTGTTCACTAAAACATGTCTTTTTGAAAACCTAAATTTTAAAAAAGCAACAATTTGACCAACACAGATACTTCTTAGTTTGTTCATTTACGTCAACTTACTCAGAATATGGTAAATATCAGTGCCAATTAGCGATGTTTCGGCTGAGTTGTGTGTGCAATTTTCTGTTGGCAACGATCAACAACTCATAGACGCCATTTTGGTCTCCCGTCGGAATGTATGATTGTTTGTGTCTCAGTTCTCCAGTTGTCACCGTCTACTAACGAGCGCCACCATTTGCAACTTTAATAAATGCTTTTGTTTCACTTTTCTGTGGGTCCATTGCTCTTTTTTTGTCGGTCTTTGTGAGGGTATTGTTAGTCATATCTGATACATTTGATTTCATTAAATTTGCTATTTTCCGATATTAGGATTTTTATCGAGTATGTTATGTTATGTTATGTTATGTTATCGATTACGGTTATGTCACGCAAAAGCTGGCGGGTATAACTTTTAACTTCATGCCAGAGACGAAAATTATCATAATTATTTTCACTGTTTTGTGCTGGCAAGTTTGCGTCGGCTTTTTACACCGTTTCCAATACACTCAAAATCACTTTGCCGTTTTTTTGTAAGATCGCAGTATCCGGACCGTGATCTACACACACCTAAAAAACATATCAAATAAATGATAAATATGATAACCATAATCTTTATCAGTGATCGTGATTTTTGCGTATGATGCCTTGTTTAAAGTTCACTCGCTATTGGTTTATTCTTATTTTGCGAGAATAATTCTTTCTTAATTCTGGAGTGGACGGTCTGGTCAGTTGAAGTCCTCCCAATATTTCAGTAAAGGCAGAAGAATTAATAACGTGCAAATGCTAACACTAATTTGATGTAATTTGTTTACTTATTTGTATACATATCAGTGGCAGATCCAGAGGGGGGGCATGCCCCCCCAAACGCATGACGATTCATATCATCTGGATTACGCGTAGCTTGTCTGCGATTTACACTCCGTATATCTTAAGCGAAGCTTGGGAACCCCCCCCCCCCAATACATTTTGCTGGATCCGCCACTGATACATATCACGATAACCAACTTCTTTTTTTGAAAAAAGGATTCTAATGAATAATAAAAAACAAACAAAAAACATGATTCAAAAAGTATGATTTAACAGTAAATAAAGCATTAATTTGGCAACAAACAGCAGTATTCGCTAAAAGAATTAATAAAAACACTAGAGTGTCTCGAATTGCCTGTAAAATCCACGACGTACGCTATTCAAGTTGTAATATATAATTTTATGTCGGATCATGATCGTGGCATGTGATGCCTCGGCGAAGGAACTCAGCTCCATATCGTGGTAGAACGTCATGATGGGTCCCTCAAAGTCTCTAAAACTTTATATAATTATATATAAATATAATTATAAATATAAACAGATATATATATATCTGTTTAATTTATTTAAAAGATTCCTCTCATTAGTAAATAGCGCCCTCACTCCACAATATTTAGAATGAGTGGTTGGTCAAAAGTTTGATGAGTCAGGTGCATCTATTGGCTAAGCTTGTTGTACA